AAATATCGAAACTGAATGGACCGAAAACTAATTTTTTTACATAATTTCTCGTGCGCTGATTGGTTCATTTTTCTCATCAATAACAGCAAAGGGATAAAATGTTAATTTATGCAAACTTTCAAGTTCAACTTTCAGCGAGAAAATATCCGGTGGGAAAACCCCTTGCTGAAATATGGAAGGTTCGCATCCACAGCTCATTCACGTCACGCATTCTTTTCTTCAGGAGAAAAGTATTCTAAAGTGTTATAGCCGCCACTAAGTTCCACTAAGCTTTTAATAGTGGTATAAATAACGATAGAAAGAAAAAGAATTCGACAATTATCGAACGAAAGTGGAACATTAACTCAGTTTAAGTTTGGGTGGAAGTTATTTTCTCGAAGTAGTCGTGCACGCGTTTCTCAGAAAAAAATGCGTGACCCGAGATGGCTGAGAAAATATTTTCGCGTTACCATGGCGTAGCCATAACCTGAATACAGTCACCTCTATCACTGTTTGGAACTAATCAGCTCAATATTGTCTGTCGACCTTTGGAGGCCGAAACTGAAAAAGGTAAAAACCCTTTGTATTGTGAAATACAAACACGTAGGGATTTTACCCTTTGAATTTCATTTTCGAGTTACAAAATGTAAAAATGCAGCGGCAGAAGGTTGCAAGTATAATACTGACCAGTCAAGGCAAAGAACGTCCTATTTATAGCGCGTCGCCTCGAAAAGCTATCTTTCTTCGAAAAATATGATGGTCTCCTGAGAAAGAGGGGGCGGGGGTTGGGGGGGGGGGGAATGTCTATAAAGAGTATGGGTGTTCTTGAATTACACAAGAATTCTCTAGGCCCGTTAAATAGCAGTTCGGATTGTAAAAACTCCTCCAAGCTTTTCGCAACTTAACATAAAACACATGACAAGTGAACTGATTCTACAGATTTTATTTTGTAACATGCCAAAAGAACCCTTTGTTATGTACAAAACATGTTTCGGGTTTCCCGGAAAAGGAAGAGGTTATTACTAATACAGACATATGCACCAAAACAAATGGAGCACAATTCATCAAGAAAAGCTAAGGCGCGAGGTTGTCGTTTTGCAGCTGTTTGTTAATTGTCCCCAAATAATGTGAATTGTATGGTTTATTTTTGATTGGAAAGCCCAGGAGGTAGTGTCAATGACTGAATTGTAAATTTCGTCCTGTGTTTCTACTTAGCGGAATATATTCCATATTTCTTTCTAAAACAACCGATGAATTTATATCTTCAATTGCAAACCGGCTTTCCATACAGTGTTAGAAGAGATCAACTGACTGATCTATGCAGATGGAGGGCTTCTATGCAATCTACATACTTTTCTCAATAAAATTATATACATTATTTTTCAGTAGAGCTTGTTTCTCAATCCAAAGAAGAAATCATGATATTTTCCTCGTATATTTAAGGAAGTGTCCTATGCTACTAACTCCTATTGTCCGTAAGTTATCTGGCCTCATCAGGTACCAAACAGACAACCACAAAGACAGACGTGAACTCTTGTCTGTTAAATTATTTAACGTCATTGTCAACAACGAACAAAACAAACTGGCCAATCTACTTCCTCCGCTGGCCACTTCTCACACTCATGCAGCGTCTGAGAAACGAGAGAAGTTTTAATATTCCACTATTTCGGACTGATCGCTTTAGAAAGTCTTTTATTAATAGCCATGCTTTGTAAATAGTTTTTAAATTACCTTGCATAATTTTTAGTGTAATTCACTAGTAGCCTTTAATTTCCAGACGTAATTCAGTCGAATGACTGCTAAGTGTGTATTTTTTAATAAACCATTTATCTTATCTTATTCACTAAATTATATAGTTTCCTGGTAATTTAATCATGAAGAATGCTATGGCTTCAGACTTTGACTGGTTAGTCTTTTCACATTATTTTGGTAACTTCTGATTTGCAGTCCTAATTTTGTTGCACACAGTTTGGATCAAAACTACTCTTGATTTATTATCCTTTGGAGAATTTGGTTTCGAGTTATCAAGTCCTTTTTATTCTTATGAATTCACCTCTAAATAAATTTTCGAAAGGGTATCCAGAAATTAAAATGATGTTATCACCGTCAGGTGTAGGAGAAAGGGGCTGCTGGTCCCGTACCCGGGGTTATCCCCAGGAGTGAGGGAACACTAGTCCCTTTCCTGGGCTTCACGCTTGTAGAAAAGCCATAAAATGACGGAAAGAAACAGAAATGAGTTGGAAATCCCAAAGGAGATACCTAGAATTGGTTTCTGCTCAAGAAGAATCCGATATTCTTCGATTTCGTTGGCCATAATCGTCATGTCGTCCAGTATTGACGTTAACTTGTAGATGGTGCTAGTCAGGGAGATACCACTGATGCCACTGATGACACCTGCAGCACATGCCATGCTGTCAGGAACATTTCCAATAAAAATCGATCCTACACAGACCGCGATGGAGGCGACACCGTACACACCAGCCCACTTCCTACTGTTGTGACTTTTCTTGAGGTCTTCGTAGATGACTTGAGCGAGCTGTCTGAGGGTTGCATGGAAGCGTCTTAGTTTTCTGATTTGCTTTGACGTTATCACATGCAAAGTGGCGCTGTCCAGGTGTTCCCACAGCGGCATCAGCTCCTTGTCTATCAACTCTGTGACTTGGTGGAGTTCCACCAGCAGCAAATCGAACTCTTTGCGATAAGTCTTGAAGTCGATGTCCAACCGCATTGTCCGATCGTACAGATCAAAGGTTCTGCAAAGCAGATAAAGAGGCACGAAGGTCGACAGTTCTTCTCTCTCGGTAATGACTGATGTGGTTTTACCCAGATGTGATGCCTTGCAAACAAGATCTCGTACATCTTGTGGCATGTTTCGAGCTTCCTTCCATATCGTGTATAGTTCCTGTATGCAATTGATGGAGTTCTTCAAGAGTTTCGCATCTAGGAGGTTAGTCTCTTTCCAGTCAGTCTTAAAGACATACGAAGCTACCACTATGCACCCTTTTGGAACGTTCACTTCGGGTGTTGGAGACGCAGGCGGTACGAAAACGAAGGCCAAAACTAAGCCGAAGCAAAAGCGGAAATACTTCCGGCTTTGTGGCAACATTTCCTATGGATGTTATATGTGCTGTTCCAAAGTGTTCTCGGCGAGTGTCCGGAGCATATAGGAAATCGCTGCCAGTAATGCTGGGCCAACGGCAGAGTTACTGGAGTTTAATGAGACATAGGCAACAACGACAACTTCTAAGAGAAAGACCCCTCTACTTAATTAAATACTGTAGATTGATCACGTGTTCGAGCCGTGATTTAGGTTATGTAAACTTGTTGTAAAGTAGCCGATTAAGAATAAGGTACTAACCCGGGGGGGGGGGGGGGGGGGG